GGAACTTCCAAGATCACCTTTTAGTCGTCTACAAAGTGAATTTTAACTATTTGGAAGCAGGAGTAGCATCCACTTCCTAAACATGCCTCTGGAAGCTGTGAACTTTGATAAATGGTGATGGTTGTAGAAGGGCTTCAGGCCTTTTTGTTGATGGGGTCGCTATGAGTTGTGTTCGACTTGATGGCAATCATCAACAAAAACACGAGGAACCTACTCCTCAGAACCACCAACCACAGAAGACCAAAAAGGGCGGTATTTGCCCCAAAGAGAACTTCAGATGGGTGACTAGAAAGAGGGGGCTCAGGAACCAAAAGGACAACACATTTGCCCAAAAGCAAAGTTCACATGGCTGACTGGAAAGAGGAAACTCAGGAAGGGAGTGGGGAAAGTGCTGTCATGTGGAAGGGATTGCAATCAATGAGATGAAACAAAATGTGTTTCATGGGAAACTGCTTTGCAAACTTCCACCTAAACTATAATAAAAGTTCATAAAGGTGCCACCAAAACCTGGCATCTATATAGCCAGTTAAACATTTTGGGATGTCTTAACAATTGAAAGGTGCAGGTGAATGGGTTTTGTTTTTGTTTTACAATGGGAATTTGTAAAAAAGGGTGGGAGCAGGAATCTATTTCGATAGAATGTAGGCTATTCTGGCTACTTCTCGAGGCGCCAGTGTTCCCCTCTGGAAACACTAAACTTCTCCATGTTCTCAGGGCACCTGGCCCAGCCCTGTAGTCTGAGTGCTGCTGTCCACACCCAAGGGCAAGAAATGTCTCTTCCAGGTTCCAGAGCACAGACTGGGCCTAAAGGCACGAGTCCCCGCCCTGTCACCTACTGACCATGCCTTCAGCTTTCCAAGTTCGTAAAACGGAAATGACAAATACACAATTCTTGTACAACTACTGCCAAATGACAGCGGCCAAGGCATAAAGTATGCATTTAAGTGTGCACGCGCCGCTGGCTTTCTGCACCTGTCTGCAGATAAGCACCAGCTGAGGCACACGCCACGAAGCCAGTGTCCCACACCTGCCCGGTCCCCGCGGTCCTGGCGGCGGGCACACCTGGTCACAGCAGCTCCGGGGAAAAAGAAGTGCCCTCGCCATCCCGGGTACTACGGGGTCCTAATGCAACAGGGCTCGCACAGCAGGCTTCTGCCACGGCGCCTAGCACAGGTGCGCAGCATCCGACTATTTACCTGCCCAAAATCACCACATCGCCATCCCGCGGCGAAGCCATGCCTGACCCCCGTGAGCCGCGTCCGAACTCTGAGACCTGGGGACGTTGCTCCTGCACTGCTGTTCCAGGACGAGCCCGGGGCGGGAGCGCAGGAGGGCGGGGCTTGCACTCATTGGCTCTGCGTCAGAGGCCCCGCCCCCACCACGCACGAACGTTGAACAAACGTTTCTGATAGGGTGGAGGAGTCTGCGAGCCGCGGAGTGGCCCGGCGATTGGGCCCCACCTATGATAGCACCGCCCCCTACCCCCTGCTGGACCCCGTGAAACTGACTGAAAAACCTCGATTAAAAGTTTTGAATGGGGGTAAGGGGTTAATCATTGGGTCGCGCAATTTGATGGGTGGAGAGAGGGTGGGTAGAGGAAATTGGAAATATCCAGTGTGAAAAGCAATGTATACGAACTTTGTAAATAAGCCAGTATAAAATAAAAATTTTATTTTAAAAAAAGTTTTCGATACCGAGACCGTAGAAATTCCTATTCAGTACGTAACTGTTTCTGCAGTACGTAATCTCTCAGGCATTAAAGCTAAATGCATGTGTTGCTGAGATTGCAAATCTGTTTCTAGAAAGATAAAAGCCACTGCTTTACAGATGACAACTATGGGATTGGAAGGAAATGTTGCTACAGCAAAAAAGGAAAAATTTGAATTGTTTTTTCATTTGAGTTCCCTGCGATAGTGCTAGTGGGATTGTGATGAGTCAGCTGTTTTACCTGCACTTCCTCCTTCAAGGGGCAAAACTGAAAAAAAACCAAACCAAAACCAAAACTCTTTGTTTAAAGAAAAGGCAATGTGGTGCCCTGACGCCTAGCTTTTTTCTGGAACTGAGACACACGAACTAAGACACAGCACAAGTGGAAGAGAAATGTCACTGCCATGAGTACTTGGTTAAGCAGAACTGATGTCGAGCATGGGGCTCAAGGAAAGAGAAGTAGATGAGGGAAAAGTTTCACAAGTTATCAATAGTCACGGAAAAGTGCTTAATCTCTTTTGTTTTAAAAGAAAAATATTAAAACATAGTAAGTAGTTTTTCAGCCCTTAAATTGCATGGAATCATTAAGTTTAACTATGTCACTCTAACATCTAACATCTAACATCTAACATCAGCAACAATATCCCCAGTACCACGACCCCTTCTAAACCCAGCCTGGACTTCCGGCAGTTCTCTGCTGATGTGCTGTTCTAATCGTTTTTGGATGATCTTCAGCAGAATATTGCTT